AGGAGTAAATGTGACAAATTGCTCGGAGTCAATAAGCCAAATCATAAAGATCAAAAGTCTATGAAGGATGAAGCATGCTAACACCAGCGCTCAACTGAGAAACGAAATGCTCAGCATGAAACCTGATGTCAGAGGAAGGAAGGAAAACAAGGGACTCTAATGAAAGGAGTCATGTAAAAAAAAAGATAACAGTATCATATGAAAATGTGAAAACAGAATACACTTGAGAAAGCATATCCAAAAAGGCAGAGTTGGGCCTAGTAGATTTTATAGGAGATGCATTGGAAAGCACAGCATAGGTAGGAAGGAAGAAAAAAAACTGTAAAAATTTTCCTCATCATGATCAGGTTCTAAAAATGCAGGAGAAACTCAAACATTGTCATGAGAGAAAAAAGACACCTCGTATAACAATGAATTTCATGATGAATTATAGCCAAAAAATCCTCAGTTGAGATCCCCAGACCTGAATCTTGTACTTGTATTCAAAGCAGTGGTAATAATATAAGAAGTTGCAAAACACAAACTTTGGAATTCATCTTAAACTCTAAATTAGTCAAAAATGAGAAGGAAAAAAAAATCAATAAACAAAGGTAAGTTATCATGGCAGATTACTGCAGACAAAAGTAACTGTTGCAAATAAATAAATCAAGTAAATCACTATTTTACAAAAATGAGAAGAGCAGATGTGAAAAATGTTTGCGCTCAATCACTGCCTAACAAGATATGATAGTTTGGTAGAATCCAATAGAGAGAGTCACATGCATCAGGAGTGTCACACTCCTATTGGTGGAGGAATGTCATATGATAATTTACGTGCAAGATGCAGTCAAACTACATTGATCATGGGGTATGTGGTAGTTCATGGCTTGTGGCATGTGAAAAATGTTTTGCATATAGAGGGCAGCACTGAATGAGAACAGCTATACAGGTGAGAGAAGGTAATGTAGGATATCGAAAATTAAGCTTTATTTGATACTCTATACCCTGCATGAACAGGCTTCGTAAACCTTAGGCATAATAAAAATTCCATCACTGAAAATTGTATTTTTTCTATGATTACTGAAAAGTATAAATTTAAACATGCACTTATTATTCACAATAACTGTGTTGAATTTTATTGAATAGATTTATATTGTATATTAGCATTAACTTCCTGAAACAGATACACTTAGTTACACAATGTTTTTTACAATATTCCAATAATACATTATGTTGATTTAACACATCCATATTTCTTATGTTATATACTTACCCTGATATTATAGAATCAAAGCACACATTACTGATCATGATGGAAAGCAAAATAAAAGACAATAACTGTGCTATAAAACCAAATAAATATTCAGCTGTCAGCTGCTATTGTTCACAAACAATCTTCAATTGATCAACATATTTGTTACAGAGCTTATTTGCAATATCTATACACAACAAGCTACTGAAATTAGATTATAATCAATACACAAAATAATAAAATAACTAGATAAGAAGAAACTTATCTTGGTCTTTCTTATTAAAATTAATGACTAGCAGAAAGTATTGTTTAAATGTCAGTTTTTTGTTTTAAAGACCATAGATTTCTTATGTTAATACCAAGGCATTTCTGTAGAAAATAAAAGTATTTATATATTACATGATCAATATCCGCTGGCTCACATTTGTTTCATTTTTCATTCCACTGTAAATAAGTTTATTATTAATAATTAGAAATAAAAAACTGTGGAATTCCTAAATAGACTGAGGTCACAAATCTCATAACCCCAAAACTTGTAACATCAAATCCAATACTTAAATTTAATTATCTAATTTAATAGACACTTTTATAAT